CTGGATCCTGGCTGCTGTGCTACATTGGCCAGAGAGCCAGACACAAGTTCGGCGCTACGGTGGTGGACCATCCCTCCTTGCACGAGTCCCACACCGCTCGCTGTCATCAATGGAGCAGGCAGAGGAGGTGCTGATGCTTCACTGGGTCCTCGCTGCTGTAAACTGGCAGACTGGAGCTAGACACATGTTCGGCGCTACGGTGGTTGACCGTCCCTCCTTGCACGAGTCCCACACCGCGCGGTGTTGTTCTTGGAGCAGACAGAGGAGTTGCTGATGCTTCACTGGATCCTGGCTGCTGTGCTACATTGGAAGTGCTAGACGCAAGTTCGGCGCTACGGTGGTTTCNCGAGTCCCACACCGCTCGCTGTTGATCTTGGAGCAGGGAGATGAGGTGCTGATGCTTCACTGGGTCCTCGCTGCTGTAAACTGGCAGAGCTAGACACAAGTTCGGCGCTACGGTGGTTGACCGTCCCTCCTTGCACGAGTCACACACCGCTCGCTGTTGTTCTTGGAGCAGGCAGAGGAGGTGCTGATGCTTCACTTGGTCCTAGCTGCTGTAAACTGGCAGAGCTAGACACAAGTTCGGCGCTACGGTGGTTGACCGTCCCTCCTTGCACGAGTCACACACCGCTCGCTGTTGTTCTTGGAGCGGGCAGCGGAGTTGCTGATGCTTCGCTGGATCCTGGCTGCTGTGCTACATTGGCCAGNTGGTCCTAGCTGCTGTAAACTGGCAGAGCTAGACACAAGTTCGGCGCTACGGTGGTTGACCGTCCCTCCTTGCACGAGTCCCACACCGCTCGGTGTTGTTCTTGGGGCAGACAGAGGAGTTGCTGATGCTTCACTGGATCCTGGCTGCTGTGCTACATTGGAAGTGCTAGACGCAAGTTCGGCGCTACGGTGGTTTCCATGCATCGGCGGCGTGGAGCACTCCGGTGCTCCTGTGTGTTTGTGTGTTCTAGCGTAGAGCATGCGAACACGGACACGGTCCCGTGTGCCGTCGGTCTTCAGGGGCGTCGGTGATTGGCTAGACTGCTTAAACATTTCGATATTGTAGCCCATACGTTTGTAGTGCCAATTTTTTGACTCGTGAAGACTACTGATTCAAAAAATCGCCTCTCCGACACGGCAGGGTATGTTGTAACTACCATTCACGAGGCCCCCCACTATGTATATTTGTGACGAGCAAGTTGGGGAGACCCTATTTGCAGGATGGTCCTGCAACAAAATGCTGCAGGATGGAATACGCCTCCAGAACCAACCCANTAAACATTTCGATATTGTAGCCCATACGTTTGTAGTGCCAATTTTTTGACTCGTGAAGACTACTGATTCAAAAAATCGCCTCTCCGACACGGCAGGGTATGTTGTAACTACCATTCACGAGGCCCCCCACTATGTATATTTGTGACGAGCAAGTTGGGGAGACCCTATTTGCAGGATGGTCCTGCAACAAAATGCTGCAGGATGGAATACGCCTCCAGAACCAACCCACCACAAACCCAGAACCAAGCAGCGAACCA